ATTATGTCTTTTATCTCACTTGTGAACTTTTTATTTTTTATTTTTTTAAAAAAGTATACTTGATATCTTTTATGTTCATTATTACTTCTAAGTCATTCTACAAGTTCAAAATACTTACTAATCAATATGTAAGGCTACATAACTTCATTTATCATGCTAGTTATCATTTTATCATTTTCATCTCAAGGCAATTTTCATCTTTACATTCTCATCTAGTTTCTCACAAATTACAATATCCACTCTTTATTATATGGATCATCACTTTAAGAAGTTTCAAAATAAAAGATCTCCATCGGCAAACTAAGACACCGCACCGAAGGAAAATCGAAATGTAAGCAACAGACAGATGGAAAAAAGCAAACACATGAGGCACAAAAGATAATAGTTCAATGTGAAAAATGCCGGAAAAGAAGAAACAAACGAAGAGAAAATAGTAATAAAATTACCTTTCTGACAGGATTTCCAGTTTCTGTTGGAACTGATCAAGCAATCCTGCAACGTGGAGTTAAATTCTAAAAATGGGTTTAGGGTTTAAGCACCGAGTTTGATTGTGTGTGATTATGTGGATGAATGTACCTGTAAGGCTATGTAGGAAGAAGAGCATTCTCGAAGCTGCTTGACGTTCTCATCATCTTCGTCCGCAACATTCTGATGTAGCGCCGCTGCCGGTTGGCTGCTTGGGCTGGGTTCAGGCGGCTGAGCCATCTATCTATATTGACTGGCGCTGCAAGTACTCAGAAGAGATTGCAAAACAAACGACAAATGCGTGAACAAAAAAGAGCACTTGATAAGTGAGCAGTAATTGCATATGAAATGATTGATGCCAATCCAATAACCATTTTAGCCCAAACCATACCAGGAATTCAATTGCCACCATAAAAATTTACATTCAGAAAGGCTAGTGACAAAACAAAACTCTTAACAGAGAACTGAAGAATCAACAGAACAGTGAAGAAGAAGAAGAAGAAGAAGAGCGAAAAAGGCAGATGAGATACCAGATGAGGCGGAGTGATGAGGAGGCCGTTAATTCACTCGTCCGGTTAGGTGGGTGACTGATGAGGTAAGGAGAATATAGACAATTGAATACGCGGAAACCAAGGTGCCGCCGGATGAGGCGAGATAATTTTAGGGCTACCTCGAAATGAAGATGTAGAAGATGGATGCCATGGAAAACCCCCAATTCAACACTTCCCTTACATACTAATTTTCTCAATTCATAATTTGTCAAACACAAAATGGGCTTTTATCTAAAAAGGAATGGTCAAAAGTCTAATATTTATATTTATATATATAAATAGATTTACCATTTTTTAAAAATGACAGTTCAACTTTGGTTAAATTTTAATTAGCATTAATTATTTACCATTTTTAGTAACTTTTTAAAATTTAAAAATTTCCACAAAATAAATAAATTCGAACATTATTCATATCTCCATTTTTTTCTTCTCTTTTCCCATAACCGCCGCATCTTCTTTTTCCTCTCTTCTTCTTCCCTTAATTCTTCTTCCTTCCCTGGCACACCAAAATTATCAAATTCTTCATCTTGCTTCCTCTTCATCTCCTCTGTTTCTCCCCCTCGCGAATGCCCAATGCAAAAACACCAAAATTATCAAATTCTTCATCTTGCTTCCTCTTCATCTCCTCTGTTTCTCTCCCTCGCGAATGCCCAATGCAAAAACCCCAATTTCTGAGAAGACGAGGTCGACAACTCTCGTCGGCAACATCGGACGGCGGCGTGAGTGAGAGAGGCGGAAAACACACAATTGACGGAAAAATGGCCAAAGCGAGGATGAAGCTAACAGTGGCAGATAAATTACCGTCGACAGAGAGCAGTGCGGCTGCGGAGCGGCACTATACAGTGGAGCCCTGTAGAGTTGGTGAAACCCCAAAGCTCCAACAAATGTGATTCAAGTGATGGCGAATTGAAGTCGTGAGCTGCTGTCAGGCACCGTCGGCTTGGATGGGGTGGATGGAGACAAAGCATCACAACGAAGGGTTCGTCGCCTCGAAATTTTTAGTCTTTGGGTTAATTTCTTATTAATGTATTTAGTGCCTTCTATTTAGTTAGTATAACAGCAATTTTACTTTATGATGAGGCTGATGAGGTTGGCAGTGTCGAGTTGTGTCGGGATATGTTTGGAGAGGCGGTGGTATGATATTGTGACGGTGCTAACGGGTTACTTACCTCCTTTGGCATCCTGATTGCAATACGAACAACATATACATCACAAGCGACCAGGACCTTATCATCTCTTACTGCAAGGCAGACTCGGAAGAACCACTTTCTGATGGACATGGTATGTTTACAACGTTTTTGCTACTAAAATTAAATGTACCATTGAAGTTTGATCTAATTACAAATTACCCAGCTACCTCTCAGAATTTGTTGTAGAAATCGAAGAATGTGGTGTGATGTGGCGTTTAGGGGACTAAATGTGATATTTTGTAAATGTGAAAGGACATTTTATATAATGTTCTTTGCCAAGTAAAAACTTGGGTAATTTTTCTGTAATTTAAAAGTTAGCATAACCTTTTGTTGTTAGGTCGCCAAAGTGCCCTTAGCAATTTTCTACCCACCCCCCAAATTTAAGCAAAAAACCGCCAAAGTGCCCTTAGCATTATTTGTGTTCCTTCTTGCGGTGATGGTAAGTGATTAAATGTGGTTAACACTCTTTTGTTTGTGGTTATCAATTGTGTAGTATTTTGGAAAAATTTGAACGACTGTAAAATAATATTAGCAAAATGTTGAGGAAGGCCACGATGAGGGTCGAACATCCCTTGGGCGCGAGCGTGGTGGTCTGATGGGAGCTGATGGAGGGCCACGATGAGGGCCGAAAATAATAAGAAGTACATGTATCAGGGACGGGCTGCTGGAGGATGAGATGGAGCTGGTGGACCGGGCAGGGGTTGTGGGGCGGTGATTTTGGGAGCGATGACTGTGTTTTCCTGTACTGTTTTGAGCAAGTTAGCTTTACTTTCATTTGATACTAAATCTGTTATGAGTTTTTTAGGCTTCTTTAATTTTTTTTTTTCTTCAGTTGAGTGTGTATATTGACTTAGGTTTATTGTCGCGAATGTTTTTGGTTTAGTTTTTTGTTTGCTTTCATTTTAGGTTAATGGATCTTCTAATGAAAATTTATTATTCTTATTTGGATAGTGTGCCCAAAATTTGAATTAATTTTTTCAATTGGTTTGTAATTTTGTATTCTTCTCATTATATTATATTAAATTAAAGAATTCATTTGCGACATATTTCATAAAATGTAGTCATACGAATGTTGTAATAGTTTATAAATGATTAATGTTATAATTTGATTAGTAAAACGGATAGCTAAGTTATATATGGAGAAGAATATTAAAATTATTGGGGAAAACCTAGGCCCAATTCCAAGTTTTTGGATTCTTTTTTTTTCAGTTTTGGCGTGTTTTTTTTTTTATTGTGAAAATTTCTACATATCAGTTATTATAAGATGTAGTGGTTGGAAACAAATCCAAGTTTAATGGAATTATAAAATTAAACATATTCTTATTGTTTTCAACTCTTGGGACTCTTTATTAATTACACGGTTTCCAACTCTTGGGACTCTTTATTGTTTTCAGATTTTAATAATGTACATATTCTTATAAATACGGCTCTTCTAAATTCATTCTCATCTATAGATTTGCAAAAATATTTTCCATTCAGCTTTACCCAAATTCTACTAGCATTGCCGTAAAAAAAGGCCATCGGCACTGAAATTTCGAATAATATATTAGAGCAACCTCTTTGCTTGCAGAAATTTATGATTTGTCAATGCATTTATCCTTAAATTTTAATTTAGAAAATCACATTTTTCTAATTGTTGTGCACATGTCCAATAAACTAAATTTAGTGTTATTATATTCTATGTATTTTTTACATTTATATTGCACATGTTAAAATCTAAATGCATATTTATCGTCAAATCCTATGAGCTTATGTCCAATGATGACTAACATGATATATCTGATGATAAAAATAAAAAATAAACCAACTTTGAACAAAAATTAAGATAGACAGTCTATTCATAAA